TTTGGCGTTGAGCGACACCTGGCCGTCAGGGATGAACATGCAGGTGACTTTCTTCTCCTTCATGCCGCCTGTGGGAGACTGAAGAAACACAAGGAGGTCAAACTCAAGCAACACTATCTCTCGCATTGTTACATAACAGGAGCTCAGATTTCCAGATCAAGGTATCGCCGTCTGCAGGGTGTCAGTGAACTCACCAGCAGATCAGGGGTGTTCACATCCAGAGGCTCCTCCACCTCAAAGGATTTCTTGCACTCAAGGGGGTGCTGTTGAGGCCTCTCCATCACGGCCTTCACATAATATTGGACGTAGCCAAACTTCCCCTTGTATGACGACACCAACTGCCTGTAAGAACATGTGAGAAGAAATAAGTAAAACCAAAAGTACTCTAACAGAAAGGGTCATTCTTTTAAAAATGATGTCATCACATGTGAAGAAAGAAACACTGGCTTACCCTTGCTGGGGCAGCTCAAATCCAAAAGTGTACTCGTATTTGTTGCCGGGCCTCAAGATGACCGAACCATCAGAATCTAGGGAAGGAAAATGAAATGCAGTTTTAATACTCTACAACACTTCAATAACAACGACTTCCTGTCCTAGTTTAGGGGGCTTATGTGAAATGAAACACTGACAGTCATCTGACTCATCATGGGAAGCATCCTGCCTGGGAGACTCCCTGTAATCTACTGTAAGGAGGAGTGGATCAGGGGAATTCACTTAACAGGTTGCGTTCAATAGCAGCCAGGAAATAACAACACCGTTACTTATTCAGCAGTACTAATGCTGTAAGAAAGGCAATAATATACATGCTACTTTCAAAAATCTAATTAACTGCACATAACGGTCTTAAACAACAACAACAACACAAAACATATAATGTGAGTCAACTCAGTTAACCGTACTTATAAAATAATAATAAATTCATTTGTATTCCCGCTTAGTCCCTGAACGCGATAAGTTATTAAGTATCGCGATGCTTCCCTGTATCGATCATCTCGCTGCTCTCTTAATGTATTAAACAGGCAGCAGTGGAGACAGCGTGATGGATATCCTCACCTGTTGGCTGCTCGTCCAGTCGCAGCACCTCCTCGTATCGGAGGTACTCGGCCTCCTGTCGGCACCGCTGCTTCCCTTTCGCGTACTCCACCTTGGCGCAGCCCAGACCCAGAACCTTCACCGCGGTGACGCGAGTCACCTCGTTCACCTCCACCACCACCCGGCCGGACACCTTGTCCCCCCCGCAGTAAAAAGTCTTGGAGGGGTCCGAAAAGACAACCTGGAAGGTCTTCACTCGCTTTATCATCGCCACCATGATTGTTTGACTTCGTATATCCAACACAGGTGATAAACAACCTGATCGATTTAAAACGTTGCTGTGAAGCGACCGTGGACTTGTCGGTTGCTCTCTCCTCTCGGCTGTAAACAAAGAGGAGTCTGATGCCGTTTTTATATGACGAGCCATGAGCAGCCTGGCTGAACTGCGTGGCTCAGCGCGTGCACAACGCTCCCATTGGTTGAAATGCTCTGTTTGTGTCGGCTCTGACCAATCAGAGCCCAGAAGCGACGCGTGGACACCGCGTGGCTGGGAGACTCGAGAGCATGTACAGCAGATGTGAGGCAGGAAGTTGAGAGGTGGAGAGAGAGGGGAAAAAGTACATTTGTAGTAAACAGGCTGAAACCAGAGAGAGAGGATCGTCTGGATTCGCCATCATAGGTGTGATGAGTCACTGAAGGTGTATCACTTTCATTGGCACGCGGTGATTCCCAAAACCTACTCATAATAATTACTATCAAGTGGTTTGAACTGGAAATACATGCTTAAAACAATATACAGAAAGTTTAGCATGGATGTAGCCTGAAAATGTGGCTCAGTTAGAAAACAAACCCTGAAATCCAATGAGCACAACATAAACTATTTTAGACATTCGTTGTCGTTATTGGATATATGCCGGTAAGATACATGTCTGAACGGTTGCATAGCAAACATTCCAGTTCATGGTCATCATGTTCGTTTGTAGGTCAGTGGCTGACTTCAGATCATAGTATATGATTCTGCATGCTGGTTATTTTCTGCTCCAAGACGGTACGCATCTCAGTTTGAGACTCAGGAATGGACATGTAGTTTAATTCCTCATTTTACACATTATTTCAGCTACTTATTCGTATGGTTTTAGTTAACCAACAACCACCTCGCTTTAACATCAACATTCACCAACATGTTGTCTTAAAAAGGTTGCATGCAGCTAAATTGCATGAGTACAGTAAGGTTACACACCCAGATTACAGTTTTTATTCATTTATTTATTTATGGCCATCAAATGTTCTGTTTGTTTTTGTTTTTTTTACAGTTTTAAACTCTGAGTCCTAAATCCCAATATATGTAGCCTATATGTCAAAATGACCTGGGTTTCACAATGCTACAATTCATTTAGCAGACGCGTAAGTCCAAAGCATCGTTCACCAGAGAGTGAGTACAACAACACAAGCAAGGATCCAGAGAGGAGGAAACAACGTCAGGAAGCGCAAACAAGTGACTGTAAATAATTCTATACAGTCTAATATGCACGCAAACATAAACGTGGTGACAGGCTGTGCATAAAGGCAAAGCATGGTTTGTTGTTTTTAAGTAAAGTTATTATATCATCATCAACGACAACATCGAAAGCTGCTTTTGAGAGTCTTAATCGGCATCAAAACCATCCTAAATATCGCCATCATCATCATCAATATGATTGAGTTCATAGGTGTTAACGAGAGAGCTGGGTCTTTAGCTTTTTTCTTAAAGGTGCAAAGGGACTCTGCAGATCGAACAGAGTTTGGTAGTTCATTCCACCACCGGGGGGGCGACAGAGGAGAAGAGTCGTAAATGTATTTCATACTTGTTTTAAAGGCAGGGTTGGTAATTTCCTTCAGATACACTTTTTAAGATTTTGGTTGAAATGGTCTTTAGGTCCTGACAGACGTTAATAACTCATGTTCTCTGAAAAAGGAACAAAGAGAATCCGTCATCTGTAGCAGTTGTAAGCCTGTAAAAACTTAAAACCAGTGTCTGCCACGAGGTACCAATCTGATGAACCAATCACGCCTCCCTGTCTCCCTGATCGCTCTCTACCTCTTGCTTGTACTAGTCCACACTAATTTTTGCAATTATGTCAATTAATCAATGTGTCGTCGCTGCTCCGTCTGGCAGAACCTGTCAGTATGCTAACGGTTAGATTTCACTTTTAAATGAAACAGTGTTTTAAAACCACTCCTGGGGTTAAAAGGTGTGCTAAGGAGGTGTGCTAAGAGCTGGGCTAGTTGTTCTGGTTACCGATGACAACACCTCTAGGCTACTCTTTTGGGTCTTAATTCAATGGCTGGTACATTAAAGTAAACATAGGTGTGTTTTATATGCAACCTTTTGCAGAGGTACAGTAAGCACTTCAGGGCTGTTTTGGGATTCATAAAATGGAGAACCGTTTCTGAGAATTCATCCAAGCCCTGTTGAGAGAATTCAGAGATTGCAGCACGCGTTCCTAAGCACAACAAACACATGCGGAACATTTTGAAGTTGTGTGTTTTCGAGGTTTCATCAGAAGAACTTCTGCAGTTTTTGATGCGTGGCGCTGAGATAATGTTTCCACTTTCTCAACCGAACACACTTGTATCATGTGACTTGTGCAACTTGTTAGTGCCTGGACCCGCAGCTGTTTTGGATGTGATTCCCGTATTATTCCCTCTGGTGAACTTTCACCCAGTTTATTTCTAAAGACGCCATTATATTATATCACCAGGATTTTCCATCATAAAAATAGATGAGCATCAGCGGATGAGACAAAGAGATATGCAAAACAACAAGAGAGACACACAGAGGCCACAGAGAGAGACAAAACAAGTACAAGGACAAACAACATGACATCACAGAGACAGAACTGTTACTCAAAGGAAAAAGGTAAATGCAAAGAGAGAAGACAAAAAGACTTCAAGTGACGGCATAGAGGAACACTCAAAATATCGAAGACACGAAATAAATTAAACAGACAGGAACAGAAACAGCAAGAGTCCAACTGCAAAAAGGAACAACACAGCAAAAATAAGAAGCCGCACATGGGGACCACAAAACTACAACCACATATAAAAAGACTTGAAACAAGTTCAAAGTGAAACAAAACATCTGTAAAGAGACATAAAGCTAGGGCTGGGAAACAAACACGCATTTCAGAACCATGTTACAGTAAAGTATTTATATATTTAACTCTAAGGAATGAGAGGGAAAGGCATACTTCTTCACAGATAATGGAGCTTTGTTTTCTGTACTGTAACATGCTCTGACACGTGCATGTGCAAAGGGGGACTGCATGTCCAGAAATAAAAGGACAGAAAAGAAACACTCCAAACATTTGAAAAGTTTGTTTTTAATATCACAGACTGGGGTGAAGAAAAAGTGTCACAGCGTTCTGGTTTACCATCCAATCAGAAAAGACCCTCTTTTCAGACATCTCCATTAAAGGACAAAATGTAACCTGAGCGGGGGCAGGTTACCCTGTTGTGTAAATATATACTGACCCCTGGTGGAGGTATTATGCCACTACAGGTGTAAATTTTACCTCCATACAGTCCGGGGACAATTTGGAGCAGATTAAATTAATGAATTGTACCTTCAGATGACATTTCTGTCTGACATTTAATGTTTAAAAAAGTGAACTTATTCAAAAACTTGATCTCTGTCAAAGTCTATCACAGCCAGATATCTGCAGTAAAAATCTAACCATAATTTGATTTGCTCTAATCAAAATCAGAAGCATTTTGTTTTATTGCAAAGTACATTTACACACACAAGGAATTTGACAAAACAGTTAACGAAGGACTAAAGCAAAGATAGTAAGAAGATATATAAAAAGAGCAGAGCCCCTGCTGACAGGAGACTCAAATAGATGAAAATATAAAACACAATTTAAAAATGACTAGAATGAAAAGCTATCAAGATGTACTAAAGTTGCAATGAGTGCATAATTTACAGCGCAAATAACTGCAAGCACAGTTTTCTAAAGCAGAGTTCAGTGTAATCAAATAAAATATTAAGTCCAGTGTTTTAATGTGATGCAGAAATGTCTTTATAAAATCCTTCACATTACTGATGTTCTCTGACTGTGGGGCTGAGTGAGAGTCTGTTTTATGTTGGGGGGGGGGGCATCATTAATGAGGATGTGTTATCCTGTACAAACAAACTTTAAACACTAATGTTTAGATCCTTTTAGTAATTTCCGTATGTTGGAATGTCCCAATTCTGAATCAAGTCAAGGTTACCTGCAGTACAAGAGCACCCAGGGTAATAGTACCAGTTATTTGGACAGAGGTCGAGGTGTCCCACTGCAGTTGCTGGAAAGCAATCTGTGCATCTAAAGGTTTTGTAGTACTGGCAGCAAGTTCATAAATATCATCCCCATAGAACTGCTACAATAACTTCCCAGTAAATAAGGTAAATGTACTGGAGCTTCCTTCAGGTCTTCTGACTTCTCAAAATATGGTTACACCGCATTTCACACACTGATGGTGGCAGTTGCAGGATTAAACCACTGACCTTCAGGTTGGAAGACGACAGACTACCAACTGAGCCACAGCCACCCACAGGGAAGACTTGGTTCTAAAAAGTAATCCTAGTTTAAGACTTCTATTGCTGCTCTGAGACACTTTTGCTGAGATTGAGATGTTAATAAGCAATTTTAAAAATGTTGAAAGTAATGAAAATTTTTGGTCTAGATGATGAATGGTTACAGAAGAAACATTTTACCAATGTGCAAGAATTTAATACCAAACACAGAACAAAAATTAATCTTTCAAAGTGTTTTATTTAAATTCAAACAATCAGGTGTTTTCTAAATCTATCACTGAGCACAGATTATTTATGAATCCAAAATCAGTGATTGCAGATACAAGTGCTGGTGTTCATGCTCTCCGCTGGTTTCTGATGGTTCTGCATCAATCTGCTCCGTCTGAAAACAAAAACAAGGAAAAGGTTCAGCCTTCTATACTATACTCAACGATATGTTCCAAGGATTATGGAAAAACAGATTCTGTAACAGTGCGACATCAAACAATCAGAACTTTGTTCCCAGCAGGTCTCCTCCAGCACGGAGCTGCAGAAGCCGGCTGGGATGGGGTTTAATTTCTGGTCAATTCCACAGCAAGTCAGGAAGTGTGAGTCCTGAAAGCCTTGGTATATGACCAACAAGTGAATGTAGGAAAACAGACGTTTACTTACAGGCTGCAGAGACAGCGACGTCACGCTCCAGGATGGTTTCAGCTTTCTGAAACAAAATTACAACACATTATTCAAGCTTCTGTTATGATTCATGCTGTTGCTCACATCAACAATCAGGTCACATCTTGTTCTGCAGTAATATCCCAGCATGCTCATGGAGGTGAACACGTGGGTAAAGCGAGACCACAGGTTTACTCTGCGAGGCATTTCCAACGACACGACCCTACAGGTAAAGGTCAGTCGGGATAGACCTCACACTCACTGAGAACAGGAGTCGTCTATAAACTCACCTTCAGTGTTGCTGAACGCCATCAGATCCAGAGACGACTCATGAAGCCTGCAACGAGGAGATCAATCACTGCAGCCGACACCTGGAGAAATGAAACGGCACGATGTCAGACACATTTTTACTGGTAGAGATGTAGATTAAAAAATAAGGACCAGGATGTGGATCCCAGCTGGATCTTTCTGTTATTAACCGTTTTTTTAGGACACCACAACAAGCCTCATAATGTTTGGTTATCTTATGTAGGAGTGAGTGTTTCAACAAAAATACCAGGACTCCGAACACGATCAGCTCAGAGACCAACGATGCCAGACGTTGAGTTTGTCTCGCACTGGCTTTTGAACAAACCAGCTGACGACACAGCTGGCTGCAGATACCACACAGTGCTGACTTTTAAGAATGTCAATCACAGGAAACACTGACAATCCACACTCACATCGTGTCGTTGCTTCAGTTCTGCAGGTCAGGCCGGAGAAAACCTGCAGGAGGACGAAGAAGGGCGAAGGTGAGGATGTATTTCTATATATCGAGATGCGAGTTTATCATGTGTGCAGGAGGATGGTTCAGAGAGGCATCTATCAATCACACATCAGAGCAGTTGAACATAAAGCCAATCATCATAACGACAAATTAACAGAAGATTTAATCCGTCATATAACTCACCGAGCTGGTCTGAGGTCTGCGCCGTCACCTGAAAACCAGATGGAACATTTAAGACTTCATTTGTAAAAAAAAGTAAATAAATTATACATTACATTAAGTACAAGCTGTAAGTCCTCATAAGTAACACTGCTGCAGAGTGCACAGCAGTGGGTTGCAAGAGAATTAATCACTCTGTGCACTGTATGAGACCTGTGCTCCACCAGACAGGAGCAGAGATCATACTGTGCACACAAACTAAGATATCACATGCACATTAATGACCATGTGGCCTTGAAGACATATTCACCTCATGTCCCACAGGGGCAGCAGAATCTGAAGGGTGACTTCTCCCCGTCTCGTTTTCAGTCCTGTGGAGAGAGGTTGGTTTTAATGTCAAAGTTTCAAGAGTTTCTCCATATCAAGGATAGACTTTGCCACTTAAGAAATAAATTTGGAAGCAGTCGGTCAGTCTGCAGGTATTACTGTGCATCTAAAACTATCGACCCGTTCAAACTCAGAAACCAAACTCTTAAACAAGATGCAGCAAATTCAGGACTTCCAAGATGTGAAACAACAGTTTCAGGGTCTTGGATGCTACAGAGCAAATGTTTCAGGCCTCATTGTCACCGTTCTGCAACCAGCAGTGCAGAGGTGAAAGCAAAACCTGATGTAGTGATATAGCCACAGCTGTTCTGGGATCAGCCCACTGAACAGGACAAACCCACAGTAGAGTCTGCACTGCGGCACAAACAATTATGAAGCCTGGAACTGCAGAGACCTTCTGCAGACGCTTCATCTGAAACATTACTTACGATTATTTGTAAACTACAATTGAAAGGGACGCTTACGACTTGTGTTTTCTTTAAAATAAAGTAGAAAGATGTCTTCTAGAAAGAAGTGGACACACGCAGCTTGTTGCAACTAATGCATTGGCTTCGCAAGAAATTGTTTATTAAATTTTCTTAAAACAGGACCTCTTGTGCAATATTTATTTTATTATATTTAATGTACATGCCATCATCCGGACCTTGAATAAATTCGTCATTAAGTTAACATGATGGCAAGCGGAATAATAAATGTTTTGTAAAATTTTTTTAAATGGTACAAAACCACTTAAATACACAGTTCCTGTTGGCCACTTTCATTGTAAATACTACAACAGCACATTATAATTTTAATTAGATCTTAACGTTTTGAATATGCACCAGTTTCTTCATTTCTGTGCATTGCTGCAAGACGTCAGTGCCTTTTTTATCGTTTACGCATTCTCGATAATTCAAAAGCAGGTGTTACGTCGAAGTTCGCTTCCCTTCCGACATGCGCTCTCTCCGTTCATAGCAGCGCTAAAGCTAACTCTTAAGCTAAGGGAGGGGAACTTTTCTAAACGTTACAAGGCTCGATCACTACTACTATAACCTGAATGACCTGTATTTGCTTGATTTTAAATGCAAATGTGGGATATAATTCAGTCATTCTCTAAGACTTCGTAAAGTTTGCCAACACTTTCGGCCTTATTAGCTCCAAGCCAGCTACCAGCTAAGTTAGCATGCGCCAACGTGGTGTGCAGAAAGTGAGGACGTGGTGTTTAATGTAAAATACAAAATCAAATCCTGTTCTTAACTGCGTGTTTCCTGTCATTTTATGAACCGGCTATCTCTGTTCGAAGTCACGAATAAGTAAATTGTTAATATTTACCCATTTTGTGTGTCCTCTTCTCACGATCCACCAGAAACAAGAGAGCTTTGATTCCGCCGCTGAAGTATTTATAGGAAGCTTTACGTCAGTTGAGAGCGGTTTACGTCAGAAAGTGCTGCGTTCAGGTAAGTCGTATACCATAGACTTAGTAAGTTTTGAGCTGAATGCCAATTTATGTATTTTAAATATTCGGATAAACTGAATCTATGGAGTTAGCTGGTGCGTTTTTGTTCGTTTCAATAAAGCATAGCACTAAATATATAATTCAACATTCTGAGACATGAAATTAGTTAATCATTCTTGTAAATATTATCGTATCCAATTTCTATTATAAATATTTATTTTTGCATTAACTATCAACAATTCATTTCATTTTATTAGTTAATAAGATATGATAAGATGTACTTTATTTTACCAAAAGGAAACATTTTCTTGGACTCTGTCTTGCAGTTATAAGATAATTAAAAATACGTAGAGATCATATAAACTTCTAACAATTCTAAATAAACATATAAAACACCTCCCTGCAACTGTGACAGATTGACATATTGATATGTTGTCAATATATTATTGCTTAAAAATCAATAGGACATTCTTCAATCTTCAAAAAGGCAACTAATTTACAAATTGCAAGGTTCACAGGTTCACACGCATCCTGGAAAAGGATTGACGACACAAAATGTTCTGGAAAATCATAAATTAAACCTTCTCATATCATATGATGTTGTTTATTTGTCATTTATCCATCTGGAATGCGTACAAAATATGAACCAGATTTACCCTATGATCAGGTTAGGGATGATTAATTTCATTTAAACTATCATGAAACTTTTATTTTACCACATCAATTGAATTATTTTTGACCTGCTGTTACTGGCTTAACTACTGAATCACACAGTTAGGTCACATATTATATAAAATACACTCAACTTTGATTTTGTAACTCTGATGTGTCTCTAGTCTGTCTACAAACCACCCAGTGATGAGAAAAGTCCATTCTCTGTCTTTTAACCTGCTCCACTTTTCAGAAAATGTGTGCTCAAACAGGCCGTTTGGAGATTTTCCCTTCATGACATCACAAAGGGCAGTAGCCCCTCCCCCAGGTGGGTGACACTCCCACAGTTAAGTGTTTGTTCTGCCCTCTGAGTCTGCCTTCTCACTGTAAACAACAGGACATGGAGCGAGAAAGCCCGAGCCACCCAAGCCCTTCCGTAGAGCGTGGTCAGACACAGCTCATTTACATATTTAAAGGTACAGACACAGAAACAGTCTGTTCTGAGCAGGGCTGAAATAGAGGGGTTTATAGACATGATCAAATACAGGATCAGAGTGGATTTGGAACAAGAAACTTCAGACATGTTTTGAGGATCTGTGAGACTTAAACTGCTTGAAAAGGAGGAGAATATGACATTTAAACTAGATCTAAACTTGGATAAATATGATCTGATTAAGTCTAAGCCACACATCATGTTAAAACTGAATTTTGGGATAGTATGTAACCTTTGAAGATTCCCCCCATTAGATGAGGCATGAACATTTCAAATACAGGCAACCAACACAGTTTTGGGAAATCATCGTTTCCATTTTAATTAAAACCTATTTCACTGGCTTCAGGTAATTTTATACAAATGCTCTCAGGTACAAGATAAGAATCGCAGACCTCCACAGCAGAGAGCCGACAGCTTTTGGATACAGAGACCGGGAAAAACTGAGCACTACATCTTTTAAAATACAAAACAGACAAACGGATTCTTGGCTTTATAACTCTTTTCTTACATTCTTTTTTTTACATGAATCTAGAAAAGGTCGCAAATGTTTGAGATAGAACCAACAAACGCTAAGATCTATCTAAAACAAAAGTTATAAAATAAAGGAGTTTTCAACTTCAGTGGACATAACATTTCCCGGGTCTTTTTTTTTTTTTTTTTAAAAGCCGGTACAAATTTCCATTTTACAGATAATGTATAAAAAAACAGAACAAAAATAATGGTTCTAGAGACAGAAGGTAAATTAATAATTAAAAGGTCCTTCCGCAAAGATTTGAAAGGTTTCTCAGGAGCAGGTCGATGCAGGACCGAGTCGTGGTCGAAGCACATTCAAGTGAAACCTCTACCCCCTACTCGATTTTCATCTCTGCCGTCTAACTTATGAACACAATCACGTCTCAGAACATTTCTGGTGTAATTCACACTTCATCTTGTGCGTTCGAGTTCAGTTGTGCAGTTCAGCAGAGACTCTCTTCGTGTGCATCAGAGTCACTCCATGCTGTCGGGGTCCGCCTGGGCCATGTAGGCGTCCAGCTCTGCGTCCAGGTGACCTTTGGTCTTCGACATGTAGGCGTCCAGCTGGTTGTCCAGTTGTTCGCGAGTCACAGAAGGACGGCCAATTCCCCGGCCCCGCCCACGTCCTCGACCACCCCGACCAGCGAAACCACCACGTCCACGCAGACCACCACGACCTGATTATGAAAGTAAACATTTATGAGTCCATTTTGTTTACTTAATATGAGAAATTATTAACTATAAAAATATGAGAAATTAAACTTTGTCGCTCCCTCACCTCTTGCAACTCCCCCACGTGCTGCTCCTCTGATCAGTGCGCCTCCTCTGCCAGGAGGTCCTCCACGGTGGCGTCCTCCTCTACGCATCGCCAGGCGACCAGCAGAGCCACGACCTCTCATTGGACCACCTGTGGTCATCCTCTTCCCTGTGAAACACAAAATCAAATCATCATTTAGAACACACAGTTAAAGGGAAAGAAATTCTACAGCCTCGAGAATCAGACCCTCAGACACCCACCTCTCAGAGACAGCGCTCCCCTCATCGCTCCTCCTCTGGCTCGTCCTCGGAGGCCTCCCCTAGTCATCCCTCTCATGCCTCCTCTTCCTCCTGCAGGTCCTCCTCTCATCAGAGCACCGACTGGCCGGCCCAGCCTCGCCTGGATGTTGCTCTTCCCCAACCGTTGTTTCAAGCTCTGACAAGTTTTTAATGGCAAGCAAAATTAAATCAGGCATACAAGCACAAGCTTAAATGTTGGGTCTTTGCAAGGTGTAGAATATAGAGTCTGGTCTAGAGATGCGCTTATTGTTGAGTGTCCTGACATATCATTTGTTATGAATTGGTGCTATACAAATACAGATTAACTGACCTTACATCCACTACAAATTAAGAATGTTCTGCTGCTATATGCTTAGACCTTGAGCTTCCATCTCTCTCTCCGTGCGTTCACATCATATTCCTCTAGATCGATGCCGCTTGTTTCATTAAAGTCTGTCATCTCAAAGTTTTGTAGCTTGTGACTGAGCAAACCAGGAGAGAGCGTAGTGTTTATGGCTTTGAATTTTCAATAGACTCCTAAAAACAGTCTACAATAAGTTTTATCAAATTTAAAATCTAAATTGGTGTGCAAATATCTGAGATTTTATCTTTCGGTCAAATCCCAACCCTACCCTCAACACAACGTCTATATGATTGGAGGTTGGATTATATCTGGTAAAAAAAAAAGTCCACGACACTCAGCCTGCTGACCTCTGACCTCACCTGCTTGTGGTTCAGAGCAGCCTGCACTGACGGCCGGTTCTCCATCTGCTGGGCCAGTCGGCGGTTACGGGCACTGGCCAGGTGCTGCTGCTGCATGGTGGCTCGAATGCTTACCGCAGCAGGCTGCTTGTTCTTCAGCATGTTAGTGAAGCTTTAGAGGTGGAAGGGAGAGAGAGGGGGGGGAGAAGGGACATACAGAGGAGGAGGAGGAAGCAGGTTCCACATCAAGTCATTTCTCACATTATGGATGCGGCCACACAGACTGTGATGGCTCTTGTCATTTCAGACTTACGTTCCATTTGTTGGCACTCACTTTCTCTCTCAATCATATCACAGATGGTTTATATTTGAATTAAGCATGTTTAATTTCAAACAAGCACAAGAAGAAACTTGAATAGAGAAAAGAGTGCAGAAACAGAGAAGAGAGTGCCAGAAGAGGAGCACAGTTTGCCACTTACAGGCCTCCAGCTGCTCGGCTGGGTGTCGTCGCGCTGCAGCAGCAGCAGAGGCCCTGGACGTGAGGAGTGCTTGGCCACTCAGCCTCTTACAGCATGGACCGTGACGCTGTGGTTTAACCACTGAGTAAGGGGAGATGAGGGGGGTAGGGGGAGAGCTTTGTCACGTCCAAGCTAGGACTGAGCACCTTTAAGCATAGAGAGAGAGAGAGAGAGAGAGAGAGAGAGAGACAGGTGAGGGAGAAAAGGGAGCATGTGCTTCATTTCCGCTGGGTTGAGAGAGAAAAGTAAAGAGGCAGGAAGGTGCCCCATCTCCCTGGTTTAGCTCAAGCCTTCCTCTCCCATGTAAAGGCTAATACTTGGATGTGTTATCAGGGAGTAGGTGCCAGGGCTTTAGTAGGACAGTGGTCCGGCCTAGCATAGGCTTACCAAGTATGACCACTACCCTTTCCCCTTGTTTACATGTGTGCACTGCTCATGCAAGACATCTGGCCCAGGAAAGCCTCCTCTGCCCCGCATTAAAACCATATCTAACCCCACACGCGTGGACGGGACAGACGTAGTTGAGTAAGCAGCGCACACACTGAGTATAGCATCCATGTCGGGTCCGGTCCCCAACAGAAGCCTTCCGTAGGGAGCACTAGAACCTTCACAAGCCAAGGCTGGCCCTTTCATCATCTGGTGTCTAACTGCTGACAGGGTGCGTGGCGCCTCACCGCTCGTTCAGGGACACCTTGGTGGTGCTTTTCAGGACCACTTTTTGGGAGGAAGGTGCACTCATTTTGACAGGTTTCGTTTGCAGGCTCCTGGAAAGAGATGGGACAGGAAATGAAAGATTTAGAACGAGGTTAGCAAAATCAGAGTCGATAACAAGCAGCATGTGAGTGGCCATGAAACATATTTTTTTTAAACTTAATTTGTACACACTACTGCAAAACAAATTGGGTGTCATAGCCTTGGAGGCAGGGGGAAAACGATATATACACATTGTGTTTATCGGATGTTATCAAATGTCAAATATAGTTCTAGTTTCCATCCTGTGATCCTGGTTTTTGGACAACCTACAGCTCTAAATCTTTGCACATCTTTTTTTGAAGTCTCCGGGTTGGTTTCAGATTCAGCCATTAGAGGAATTCTTAATGACATTAATGCAGAGTGCTTCTAAATAAAACTTGTGAAGATGTCTATATCGGCTGTAAACAAAGCCATGTGCACACACAAGGCAGCGTTTCCAAAGCATCGATGTCCATGTGAGGGAAACACACATGGCTATTATTTTAGTAATGCTTTATATAACTACCTTTATTATTATCATCCCTTTCATTATTTATCTGCTTGTTTAAATTGCTCTTACTGGTATGTTTTTTTTACATTTTTAGTATTTGCAAGATATTTTGGGGCACTGCATGCAGCAAAGGGCCGAGGTTGGACTCGAACCCACAGTCGCTGCAGGGGGACGTGCAACATAACCAGCAGGCTATCCAACACCGCAGATCACTTTCAGTCGCTTACATAATCTCACTATTTGGTCGTCTTGGTTCTTGTGTTTGCCTGGTTAACGTGATGGTTGGGTTTAACATGTTTGTTGGTTATTTTGTTGTTTATGTTCTTTTGCTTTGTTTTTGTAATGTTCCTGCTGTATGTCAAAGCACAATAAAAGTTATTATTGTTCAACATTTTGGGCACAAAATATTGTTAAACAAGCTGTTAAAAAATAAAAATAAAAACTAAACTAAAACATGCTTCGGTATCTTGTTAGGCAATCAACTTAAATTCGTAAACAGACATTCCCTCAACACTTAGAGACAAGTTTACATACCAAACTCATTCACTACAAAGCATCTAGTATCGACCATAAGGTAAAAACATCACAGGATGACGTCAGAGGTGGCAGCTGTCTGATCGTACATCATTAGTGCCACTGAAAGCGTGTCGCCTCCACCTTTAATGAAGTACTTTAATATATTAAAAACTACTCGATAAAAAAAAAGGAATCATTTGAAACCCTCGCAAAAAAATTAATAAAATAAATAAATAAAAATAAAATAAATAAAAAAATAGTTCTGGTGTAAACCGGCCCAGTTTGACCGACAGAAACTATTTAGCTTAGCAAGGTAGTGTATCACCTTTTGTGGATCAAGGGACGGAGTTTACAAAGTCTAAATTAAACAAGTTTAATAAATAACCTTAAATATAACAACATTTTGTTTGCATGTATTCATTTTAATACTTACAGTGAATGTTGCGTCGGTGGAGAAAAGCCTTGCAGCTAGTCAAGATTAGCCTCGAGAGCTAGCTCGTCTTAGCACGGCGCGGCCCTGTCGACTCTCCGTATCTTCTTCTGTTTGCATAAAACGGATATTTTGAAGCTGATTTTCCAAACAGAGCGCAGTTGGAAAAACAATAAAAAATAAATAAAATGTCTAGTTAACTTCTGGCTTTCTCAGAAGAAGAAAAATAAAAAAATAGCAGCAGAGACAAGGGGTGTCGTCTCTCTCTCCAAAATGGTGCTGCTAGCTGCTGAAGCGGACGGAGAAAATGGAGACGTTCTAAATGACGCTTTACGTCACCGCGTTGACGTCATTTCCGGTTGCGGCTGTGTTTATGTGTTTTTCGGTTAAAATGGCTTCAGCCGCTTTGGTGGAGACTTCTGCAGGGAAAGATGTTATCGCCGAGGGGCTGCTCGACCTCCTGAAACCAGCAATCCAGCAGCTTGACTTGCATGTACACTCAGTGAGGTAAGTGTCTGTTTTTTCTTTAATTATTATTACTGATTATTCGTGACTGACATCCGAGCAGGCGGAGCTACTGCAGCTAACTGCCTGATTGTCCCGTGACTCCATCACGGGGGTCATGAGTTCTTCATTGTTCCCCTCTGTGTTTAATCATTTACATTTAAATTTGTCATCAATTTAAGTTGTCATCACCTGCTAGATGTAATTTATTTATCTGATTTGATCAGAAATTCCACCTCTGTCACTTTGTCTCTTCTGTCTGCATGGACGTTTCAGTGGGGGGGAATGGGACTAAAAGGGATTTAATTGATTTAAAATGTGTTGTATCAGAAGCACTGATGGAGGAACATTTTGATGGCCTTAATGTAAAGTTTCTAAAGGGTCGTACATGGGATGGAGGTGTGGTTATAGCACTATTACAGGGTTGGCTGAGTCTGTGTTAGAGGGGCCCAATGTCATATCTTTTAATGGGGCCCAGAAACTCTGTCAACGCTCCTGCTCCTCTGTCTTTAATTGATTCATAAACCCTGTATCTGCTCATCTATCCTCCACTTAAAGCCCCCTGCATTGGTTATGGTACGGTAAACCCCTTATTGCAGTGCTTCTCAAACTTTTTAGACCGCATACCACCTGAAAATTTTGGCTCTCCAAGTACCACCATTATGGTAGATGTTAAAAAACACTGTAGGCCTGTTTCTACACACATTTCATGCAAGAGGCAAATTGATTCATAAAAAGAATATTATTTATTATTGACTGCTGGCAGCCACACTGCAGGCCTACTAAGGGCTAATGCTACAACTTACACACACACACAAAAGTGCAGAACAATAAAAATGAAAACTTTACACCAACAACCTGTTTGGAAATATTTAGTCTGCAGTGTTTCCCACACAAACACGATACCTGGGCCCAAGTATATTTCCGACCTATTCTCATTTAATTTTTCATTTATTCATAAAATTGCTGCATTTTATAAATGTTAATGTACAGCTGCTTGCTGCGGATTGTGTGCTGAACTCCAATAAATAACAGAATATCTGTTAATGAGAATATCTGTTCATGTAGGCCTACATGAACAGATATTCTGTTATTTATTTATTCTGTTAGTGTAGGCCTACAGCTGCTTGCTGTGGTTTCGGGACTGAACTATAACGGAATATCGAGTGGAACTTTTCAAACGCGAGGCGTACTCCTGTTGTTGTTTATGTCTGTGCGCGAGCATAAATTGAGCAGATTAAAGTTGTTTGTTGCAAAAACTAGATTCATTTAGAGGGGAAACACATTTGATATAAATACAACCAATAGATACAAGCTAGATAAGATAGATAGATAGATAGATAGATAGATAGATAGATAGATACAAAAATAAATTGTTGTTTTATGCTGAACGGGTTTGTTTTTATATTGTTGAGATTTCTTTGCGTACCACCACAGGGAGCTCCCCGTATTATAGTTTGAGAACCACTGCCTTGTTGCATTTCACAGGCAACCATTCCCTTACTTGGTACAAGTGATGTAAGCAGGTAAGCTGATAGGTGCATCAGCTAAGTAATAGTGTGACGT